TCATCAGAACTGAGATATCAGTCACCATTCTATCAGTTTTTTAAAGGTGTTGTATATGATACTTCTGAAAAAATAAAACAAACTGCCGATACTTCAGCATTAGAAAGAAATGAGTTTTTCTGTTCTGCATTTATTTCATATTTACTAAATCAAGTAGTCCAATTGTATCCTCTAATGTCAGGTCTGGCAATTTAGATTTTCGGTATAAAACGTGACACCAACAATGCAGTGGAAAATTGGATGGGATACATCAAAAATATACAATTTGGAAAGAAAATGAGAAATTTCATTCCACGATTCATACAGCAGCGTCATGAATTAACCATGGATAGACGCTATAAAGAAGTATGTTACGGATTAAGTCCCACAAGGCAAATGAAGAAAAGAAATCTCGAAAGAAAAGAAACGCCAAAAAATGACTCTGAAAATAAAGTACTGTACGACGCGACAATGAAAGTGCAAATAACACAACTGCAGCTAAAAAATGTAAATTTGAAGAAAATAAAAACACAGCTCCAACCATTTCTGGGAATATGTTCCAAGACAATGACAACGTACTCTTCAATAGAAAAAATATAATCCTTGATGATTAGTTACAATCTCCAGAGACAAAAAATGTTAAACCCTGGACATCAACAAAGTTCGCAGTTATTTTACAAGGAATTACAAAATATGGAATACTGTTAGACTTGGTCAGTCTTAAAAGTTTAGAAACATACCAGTACATAGATAACTGTGTTATCGACGTATTTAATTGCTATTTAACAGAGAAATATCATAGTAGGGGAATGTAGTCGAGTTCGGCCCACTTTTTGACTTTTGTTTATAACTTTTTTTTAAAAATGAATTTAAACAATTGAAGAATATTGTTGGAAAGTCCTGTTTAATAGGAACATTTTTTCTGTACAAAGTAAATTGATTGGTTTTAAAATGAAAAAGTTATAAAGATTTTAAAAAAAAAATTTGCAGTCCAGGTTGGTCCTTACAGTCAAGGTCAGCCATGTTTAAAATTCAAAGGGCATTAATCATTAAAAAATAAAATAACATGTTTGGAGTTAAGGAAAATTGATTCTTTATTGTTTACAACTTGTAACTTAATGAAATAATAAAATAATAAAAATAAACAATATAAAAAAATAAATATAAATAAAAAAAAATTTAGCACTGAAATATTAATAAAATTAAATAAAAATATTAATAAGATTATCAATTATATTATGAGTTATTCAGAATTGTTTTTTTTGCAAATGAAGTAGCTCGTCCTCATCTTTGCGCATTTTAAACACAAAGTGTCCGACCTTGACAGAAAGTAACATTACCGAATTGTTGTAACCAAAAAGAAATACGTTTCGGGATTCAATTTTTCACTTTGATTTTCTTTCAACAATGAGTCCCACAAAATTTCTGCATGTTTGCCTTGACGATTTTTTTTTATCTTTTATTAATGATTTTTCACATGATGCACAAAACTTTTTTTGAGCTTTTTTTGTACCGACGTCACAGAAAATCCAATTTTTGATTCTCCGAAAATGTAATTGAACAAAAAGTTGCATGCGCGTAGGTGGCGCTAGTGAATTGTCCAAAAAATCGCGTATGGCCTACCTAGACAGTGGTCCAACCTCGACTATACTCCCCTACAAGTATTTTATATTTTCCTACTGACTATATTAAAATCATAACAAATCAACCGGAAAATGAAAAATTCCTGTTTTACACTAAATTGTTGCTATATTATTTCCCTTCAAAAACCATACCATGAACATTTTTTTAAAATAAAATTAAATAGCCAGCAGCCCCACCCGTTCGCTATCAGAAACGCGTAAATGCTGTGCGTGGCGACGCCTATGGATTCTTTTGACGGCTGGCGGTTTGCTACTTCACCGAGCTCTGAGAACTTGCTCAATTTTTTAACTCATACTCCAGCATATTAATTTTTTTTTAAATTCTTATACAATTTTTATGAAAGAGAACTCCTCACATTATAATGCTTATAGTCCTGCACATTAATTTTTCTTAAATTATTATATAAATTTATTACCTTTGTTTTTTTATTTTGCTTTTTGATCGACATGTCCCTGCGGATGAGCGAATGTTGATGAAGTACATTTAAAAAAAGATTAGTTTTTATCTATGGCGTTGTGGATATATTCTATTAAAAGTATAATATATTGGAATCAGTAATTGAATTGCTCGAAGTCGTGAATCGTACCTATATCTAACTGTTCCTTCGAAAAAAATTAAATATTGATCTTGTAATTCTTCATTCTCGATCTCTGTTTCATTTGCATCTGGAAGAGCAAAAGTAAATATTAATACCTAAAAATAATAATAATAAACGACATAATTTAAAAAAGTTACCTCGACTTGCAATGAAGGCAAATTTTGTTTCTGACACAAGAGTACGTTCATCCTTTCTGGACTGAAAAGTAAAAAGTAGTTAAGCATATTGTAACACTTTTATTATATTCAATTTATTTATCTCACTTTTATAAGCGTACGTCGCGCGCTTAGAATAATCGTTTGTCTACTGACACCAAATCTTCGAGTCGACCCGAAGGCCCTATCCCCACTCTCTCCTAACACATTGTGGGAGGGGGTCTAACGGCTCGAATGAAAAAGGGGCGTCGACAGAAACATAGTCAAAAACTATTTCTCTAACAGATATATTAGATAGTATGTAGGGGAGAGTGGGGCAAAGGCGCTAGGTTTACATTTATCGATGTATATTTTTTAAATTAAGCAATTAATTTATGCGGTCTTTGTTTTTCATTTTTCTAAAACTAATCAACAAGCAATTTTAATAGTTGTTATTTAGTATATTATAAATACATTATTTAATGAAATTTAAAAACAATGCAAAAAATGCCTTTGCCCCACAGGCTGGGGCAGCGACGTTTTCGCTTATATTTCTAAAAGAAAGCATTTATAAGCCTTAAAAAAATTAACAAGTGATATTTATTAGTATAATATTTACGAAACATAAGGTTAACAACATATTATTAAAAGAATTAAACTATTTAAATAAAAAATTAAAACTTTTAGTGATTTTAACCTTATATTGTGAATTAATACATAGAAAATTCGAATATTCAATTGTTTTTAACCAAATTATGTTCAATATTGCCTTTGCCCCACATAACAAACTTTTTTTTACTTTAAATTAAAAATATTTAGATTCAAAATTAAACTAAAACACCACGCCAGTTGTGTACAGAAATATTTAATTTATTTAGATGTTACGTTTTTAAAAATTAAATACTTAAACTTATGTTTTAAAAAATAAAAGTTTGTTCAGTAAAATTATCATTTTATTTTTGCAAAACAATTTTTTTGTTATATGAGGCATTTCACGTCAGAAATATCACGATTTGCAAAGGGTATGCCGATTTTCGCAAAACTTCGTGGGATTATAGTTCTATATAAGAGACTTCTTTTCCCCAAATTAAAAAAAAAATTCAAAATTGTTGAAGATACGCCATTTTGAATTTTAATATTAATTTTATAAAATTTTGAATATCTCGGAATATTGTTTATGGATTTTTATGAAATTTACACATTTTTTAGGTAAAAGTATGTACTTTAAAATGCAAATAAATTTAATTAAAAAAAATTAATTTTTAAATAAAAAAATTTAAAAAAAAATTTTTTTGAACAATTTTTTGTTTATTTACTCCTCTCTGAGAAAAATGTTAAAATTAATATATTTGGATTCCTTATGAATTCACCTTTAATTTCATAAATAAAAATTGATGGAGACTCAACTGGTTCCGGAGATATTGAAGTTTTTGTAAAAAAAGCGTCGCCGCGCCATAGCACCATACTGCACAGTCGCGTAGTACGTTACCGCAGTCGTGCATTGCTGCTGTAACTATGACTATTTTTTACAAAAAATTCAATATCTCCGGAACCAGTTGAGTCTCCATCAATTTTTTTTTATGAAATTAAAGGTGAATTCATAAGGAATCCAAATATGTTAATAACATTTTTCTCAGAGAGGAGTAAATAAACAAAAAATTGTTCAAAAATTTTTAAAAAAATTTTTTTATTTAAAAATTAATTTTTTTTAATTAACTTTATTTGCATTTTAAAGTACATACTTTTACCTAAAAAATGTGTAAATTTCATAAAAATGCATAAACAATATTCCGAGATATATTTAAAATTTTATAAAATTAATATTAAAATTCAAAATGGCGTATCTTCAACAATTTTTAATTTTTTTGAAAAAATTTAGGGGAAAGAAGTCTCTTATATAGAACTATAATCCCACGAAGTTTTGCGAAAATCGGCATACCTTTTGCAAATCGTGATATTTCTGACGTGAAATGCCTCATATTTCTTAAAATATTTGATATTTTTAGGGTTTTCTTTTTTTAACCAATTGGTCTCATTGCATTGCAACTTAATTTTTAATACCAATTGGAATAGACAGAAAATAAAGGAGATATTTTAAAAAAGGTTTTTGCCCCGCATAGCGCCTTTGCCCCACTCTCCCCTATAGAAAGTTTAATTACTTAAATTTTATTTCACTTTATAAATAATATAAAATATTGGGATCAGTTGTAACTGATCTCGCCCCACATCGATTGGTCGGATTCGGACTGTGAGGAATCGACCATTTTGGATTGCTGACAGTGGTTGCCAAACGAGAGTTTTGCATGCACATGTAAAGAAAAGTAATACTTTACCACCTCGGTGATGTCATAACTTGGAATGTAAAGTGGTACTTTACCTCCCGGTAAACTTTACTTTACTTCACCTTCCCGGTGTTGTTTTTATTAGATATTGAAATCTTAATGAAATTATGACCAATTATGAATGTCAAATGTCTGACAAACAACCAGTAGTAACTATACAACCACCAGTCACAACTATACTGTCATCAATTATAACCACACTACCGCGTTTATAATTTCGGTATAAGTGTGTCAGAAAATTCCATAAGCTCTACTGAATAATACTCTTCATATTGAAATTATAATTATAATTTGTTTTATTAGGAGGAAAGTAACTCTGTTGAAGTATTACACTGCAGTATAAATGAATCATTCACGAAGTTTAAAGATAAATATGTTCTTAGTAAGGATGTTGACTTTTCGGACAGAGTATCGCAAAAGCTGAGAACAGGCTATAACGTTGGGTAAGTTTTAAAATCTTTGTTTGTAATTTAATAATAATATAATAATTTTGTTACATTTTTGACAGTTTTTATTAATTATTTTAGATATTATAAAGATGTGAACATAACATGTTTATATTGAGATATGATGAATACCTTATGAAAACATTTAAAAATGGTTAAGAAGTATTCAAAGAATGTATACACAAGTTTATTTATATTTTCTTTGAATACTTCTTAACCATTTTTAAATTTTTAAATTTTTTAAAAATTCCATTTTTAAATGGAAGCATTCCACAAATGCTTCCATGAAACTGTTTAATTGAATTGTATTTTTCAACATTGCATTTGTCGATTCAAGCCGACTGTTCGTTGTGTTACCTAAACTATCAGTAACAAAAATTAATCATTTAATATCCATTCAAGGAAAATATTGTGCCAATTATTATTGAAATACTCCCTAACTTTTGCCATATCTAGAGACTCGAGTTCTGCGTATAAAACAAAATATTCTTCCTCTGATTTGCAACAGACCATTTGATCTAAAATGTGTTTTACATCCTCAGAACTTGGCGACTAATCTCCATTTCTTCGCAAGTGATTTCGCGATTAAAAATTTGCTTTGTGTGAAATACAAAAAATAAAAACACGAGCTTGAGGAAAACAAATTTTGATTACGTCTCTCTTCAACAAATCCTTGTCAGCCATGACTACTTTAATTTGCGGCCATAATTCATTAAAACTTTTGAACATTTCGAAAAATCACGTGACTGAATTCCTATCCTCGTACATCAATATACAAACTGCAACGATTTCGCTAGTTACGTTTGCATCTTCAACAATTATTAAGTATACGTCAGCTTTTATAATTAATAACTTATATGTAGCGTCAACAAAAATCATATTGCCGTACGCGTTCATACATATTTTCATAGTTTCGATTGTAAAAAAGAAACCTCCTTATTGATCCTCTTCAGTTGAATAGATTGAGTATTGCGCACCTACAAAATAAATATTTATTTATTCGTATGAACGGGCTTACTATAGAAAAAATTGTCCTTTCGTAATTATGATTTCTATTATTAACTATAAAACAGATTTTTTCAAAACAAAAAAACAGACGGATTGTTCTGTGATATGAACTGTTTTTTGCCATTGAACTTATCGCAAACATGCCGACATGCCCAAAAATTGTTCTTTCGTAATTATGATTTCTATTATTAACTATAAAACAGATTTTTTCAAAACAAAAAAACAGACGGATTGTTCTGTGATATGAACTGTTTTTTGCCATTGAACTTATCGCAAACATGCCGACCAATTTTTACTTCCCGTGTCCGCCATCCAAGCCCGGAGCATGTTTTCCACATCCTGATTTGATCGCTCAATGCTTCCTTGAATTTACGGGTGTCTCAGACGTCCATCGGGGTTTTTTGGGGTCGCTGATCACGAATTCAATGTTAGTTTTCCAAAATTAAAAATGTCGATCCAATATGGCGGACTTTTTACATTCTCATCAAAAATGAGAAAGTCTTGGATTTGTGCGATTTTGAGCAATGTCTAATTTTGCTAAATCTTTACGTTTCATCGCCCCCTGATTCCAAAAAAATGGTTTTTAGAAAAGTGTCTGTCCGTCTGTCTGTCCCTCTGTCTGTCTGTCTGTCTGTCGTCTGTCTGTAGAAAAATTTGTCGCCACGATAACTCGAATAAATTTTTATGAATCGTCTTGTAATTTGGCACACTTTTTTAGTCCAGAAAAATGAAGCCTGAGTTCGTTGGGCAGCCCATTTCGTCAAAAAACAACAAAAATACAAAATTTTGAAATTTTCAAAATTTTGTATTTTTTACAATTTTCAAAAAAATATTTTTTTAAAATTTTTTCCTTAAATTTGGTTCAAAAACAAACGACTTTTCCCTTAGACACTTTTCAGTACAACAAAAAACAAAAAAGTTGTGAATTTTTTTTTTTTTTTAAATTTGCTATTTATTGTTTTTTTTGGACTTTTTGTCAGCCTTCTCTGCAGTAGAAAATTTGTCCTATTGGGGCCGTGTTAATAAAAATTAGTTCATATTATGCTAATACACCTTTCTTAACATTAGAATCGACAATTGCATCTCTTACACAAATTTAAAAAAAAATTTTCCAAAAAAGTACAAAAAATTGAGATTTATAGTGAGTGAAGCATTAGCCGAAACATAAGAAAACATTAAAAACATATCGAAACCTTCCTTTTTTTCTTTTAGATGCCAAATTTAGGTAAAAATACAAAATTGGGAACAAAAAAGAACTCAAAATTTTCAAAAATTCTGCCTTTTTTTGATTTTTTCCATAAAATTTGTTTTTACATTCTCATCAAAAATGAGAAAGTCTTGGATTTGTGCTGATGACGAATATGATGTCAGTTTTTCAAAATTCATAATGACGAATCCAATATGTCGGATAATTTCAAGATTGATGCGGTTTGATCGAAATTTATTTCTCAGAGAGTTTTAGGAGTCACGGAATTTGAATTTGATGTCCATTCTTAAAAATTCAAAATGACGTATTCAATATGGCGACTAAAATTTTTTATATTGCCGGATTTGTCTAAAATTTTTACTCGAGAGGTGTTAGGGTCACTAAATCTAAATTTGATGTCAAAATTAAAAATTGATGTCAATATGACAGCCAAAATTTTAAAAATGAATAAAAATCTTATGACAGACTTCAAAAATGCAAAATGGTTTGTAAAATATATAACTAATCAAAAGTGTAACTTTTAATAAAATTATTCCGAAAATTATAAAAAGTTTTTCTAACTATTCTTGCTCAGTGACACTTTAGAAAATCAATCCAATTGGATTTTCATGTTGGAATTTCCTAGAAGTGCTTTCACGGGAATTTTTTTAAGGATGGGTACGCTTGTTAATACAAGCATTGGCCTTACCATCCAGTAGAGGGGGCCGAAATTAGATATATTTCTCCCATTATCAATAGACGATTAAAAAAAGTAAAAATATTACTCATCTTTAGAGAGAGCACGAAATTGATCCAAATGTGGTAAGTTTTCTTTTGGAATCATTCCCACTTTAATTAACCCGATATTGTGAATGTTCCTACCAGCGTTTACGTCGCGATTCCATGGAATTTTACATGTCCCACAATAAGTTGTTCGATTTTTATAAATTTGAACATTTTCATTGCATGTGCTGCATAACCAAGTGGTTCGATGTTCGTCGACGAAAACCATTCTTAAATTTTTTGAATATCGTTGTTTTTTGACTAAATTCTTCACTACGGCGCGCAACGACATACGATTGTGACATTTCATATCTATATATTTTATATTTATCCCATTTTAGGGTCGCGATTTTTCTAGTAATGATTACAATAGTTGAACAGTACTGCTCGAATATGTGACCATTTTTCGTAATGCTTCAAATAGCTTCGTTATTAACTATTCTGTAAGTCGAATGTAGTCATTAAAATTTTATTTAAAACAAAAACAAACTAAATATGAATAAGCACAAAGTCTATGTGACTGATTACAATAGTCTACATTAAAAGGAAGTCTTGGATTCTATTCACATTAGCAGCAGTCTAAGGGATTCAGTGATACATACAGTCGTAGTCATTACAACAGGACTATTGTAAAATAAGAAGGCAAGGCACCAGCCGGTCACCTTATTTTACAATAGTCCTGTTGTAATGATTACGATTTTCTGCAGCGCTAATTCCCTTTACTTTGTAAATGTTAATATTGCTATATAATACTGCCTAAAAAAACTGTTGTAAAGTTCAAAAAAAATTTTAACTAAAATAAAAACGTTTTTTAGTTATTGATTTTTAATTACATATTATTATTAATTATTATTATTACCTTCCAAAGACTCACAATTTGTAGGTTAATTTTATCCTTAAATTAGACAATTTTATTAAACCCTAACATATGTACATATTTTCGCTTATACCTAATTATAATACTAAAACGCATAACACACTAACGATCGCTGTTAACACATATTTATATATGCCTTTAATCTTCTTATATACTAACTGCTACAAAAGTTCACCACTTGCGAGAAAGACTTTTAATTGCAAATTTTTTTAAATTATCTTTTTCTCAAATATTAAAATAATTATTATTCATTTTTAACCTCTCATATTGTAAGGTCTATTTTTATAGCATTTCTATTGTAGAAATATTTAAAAGATTTAATCAAATTAAGTAAAAATTGGCATCGAGAGTTTGGTCTAAAGTTTTTTGAGTTAAAAATCAATTTCAAATGAATAATGCAAATAATCAATTAACTGCACGGAGAGAAAAATCAAGCGTTTTTAGTATGGAGACTTCCTATGGTAATTTTGTATGAACGCCCTGCTTAAGAGGCATGTCCTTATACCTCAGTTGCATGAAACATATACTAAAATAGCATGGATCTCTTGCAATCGTAGTATACTGACGTCTCATGCGTTTAAAGGTAGAAATTTTATGCTGATAACGTAGAAATTGATACAAATACAGCAGAAATTTTACGCCTATTGCGCATGTGCATTCTTTTACTAAATAAGGTTAACTGTCCATACTAAAAACGCTTGATTTTTCTCTCCGTGTAATTAAAATGAAAGTTAACGTAACTTATAGTGTGTTATATAAATTGAATATATTTAAGGATAAAATATAGTCAAACATTTTGAAATATTTTAAAACAAAATCAACATTTATTTTTTAAGTTTGTAAGTAATATAAAATTTACATTTTACTTCTATGACTAAATGCAACAATTAAACAATTAATTTTGGTGCTTTAATATCAAAGTTAAATTTTTTTAATGTCGTCGTAACGCGATGAAGATGTACATAATAAACTGCTTTATCAGTAAACAATACGTAACTGAAATTATAAACAATTTGTGTTACTACTTGTCACAGTTAAAACCATGTTTTATTAATATAATTAAATTCATCAATCAACCGATTAATTGTGGTGACTTTACCGCAAGATACATTTTCTAAGGTTAGAGTATTCCAGTGAAAAGAC